TGTATAAAATTGTCAGATCTTTGAAAATATGCTGCTATATATATATTTTATATATATATATATTTATTTTATATATATATTTTATATATTTATTATATATATATATATATTGTTATATATATATTTGCATTTCATTATTATACGAATAACAATGAAATGAAAAAAAATATAAGTAAGAACTTGTACAAACAAAATTATTTTTAGATATATAAAATAAATAACATTTGTTATAGATATATAAGATATATAAGATATATAACATTATATAAGATTTGTTATAGATATATAAAAGATATATAAGATTATATATAAGATATATAAGATTTGTTATAGATATATAAAATTATCAAAATACGTATATAACACTGTTATATACGTATACAATTATATAAATAAAGAGACACGAATAACAACGAAATGTAAAAGAAAGTGTAATAGAAATTAGAAATATGACTAAGAATTTATATAAACTAAGATAGGACAAGAATTTATATATAATTTACATGAAAAAGAATTTATATAAACTAAGATAGGACATTTATATATATATAATTTATATATATAATTTACATAAAAAAGAATTTACATAGTATCATATTTATCTGTACAAACAAAAAATTTCCATGGTCGTTCTGACCAATTTCATAGTTCCAAATATTAATTAAAATCGAGCAGAATTTCGAAATTAGAATATTTGCATGAAAACGAAGAACTTTCTTGTTGAAGAACTCGCATGGAGTGTTCCGACTGTCCAATTGCAAGGGTTAAACAATCTCGCGAGAGACAAAAAACAGGTAATCCGAAGGGGGGCGGACGGGGGAAAAACAGCCCGTCTCGCTCTTTTAATTTCAATTAAAAAGGAACATCCTTTCCCTCTTTCTACTCTCTCTCTCCTCGCTCTGTGTGTTCTCGAAACGATCGAAAAAAAGTCGTACGAGTTTCTAACGAGCGTTTCGTATGAAAGTCGAACGAATTTGCCCAACGGAGGAGACACCGATGCTTCCGCGCAACGGGAACAGTAAAAAANAAAAAAAAAAAAAAAAAGAAAGAAAGAAAGGAAGAAAAGAAGACCAGAACCAGCCTTCTATTTACAAAATCGTTCCAGCGTAGTAGAAACGATCGGCAGGATGGTTCGATCGACGAGAGAAGGCTCCACACGTTCGTAGCCTCTTTTCTATCGAATTTCTATCGAGCACGGGGGGCGACGTCCGCCCCCCTGTACGGAATACGTGACACATCGTATCGAACATCGTTGGCTGCCGATGTACCGCGAGACATCGATCCGCTGTAAACACACTAACTGTCGCTATAGAATCCCCCATTGTATTCTTTCCCTCTGGCATCTTCAACATTTTTACACACGGTCCATTGTACACACTGTTCTGCGCCCATTAGCTCTGTGCTTCTCAGAGACGAAGCTTTTTCTCACCTCCCCCCTCTCCCCTCCCGCCCCCCCCTTTTTATTTTGTCGTTCGTCGTTTCTCCCATTTTTCTCTCGATTGTGAGAGGAGAAATTATGGAATTATATGAGCGAACGTTTGTTTGCCAAACTTTCCTCTCCTTCGCCCCTCTTTATTTTGTTTTGAGAGATGAAAATCGAGATTCTTCATTCTCTCTCGTTGAACGAGAATGGAAATGTATAATTCTCCTCTTCTCATTGCTTAGAAGTTATTTCGTGCATTGTTTCCTATATTAACTCTGTTAGTATCGATAAAAAGAAAAAAAAAAAATACTTAAGCGAAAAATACCGAGTCAAGTTGATAAGTAGTTTGGACAAATTACGTTTGGAAGAGAAGAGTATAAGAATTCTGTGAAGAAATGATGATTAATTGAAACAGAAACGTATCAAGAAATGAAGAGACTAAACTATATATACTAAGAAATGAAGAGACTAAACTATATAAACTATATATACTAAGCTATATTAAATATGCTATGCTAAACTATATAAACTATACTAAACTATACTAAACTATATAAGCTATACTAAACTATACTAAACTATACTAAACAATATAGGCTATACTAAGCTATACTAAACTATATAAGCTATACTATACTAAACAATATACTAGTTTAGCTTATATACTAAACATTATAAGCTAAACTATACTAAACAATATAGGCTATACTAAGCTATACTAAACTATATAAGCTATACTGTATTATATACGCTATACTAATCTATATTATATAAAACTGTAATTAAATTAAACTGTATTATATAGCTATACTGAACTATACTAAACTATACAAGCTATCCTAAACTATATTAAACTATACAAGCTATCCTAAAGTATACTAAACTATATAAGCTATATTAAACTGTATAAGCTATACTAAACTATACTAAACTATACTAAACGATATAGGCTATACTAAGCTATACTAAACTATATAAGCTATACAAAACTATACTAAACTATATAAGCTATACTGTATCATATAAGCCATACTAAACTATACTTTATTATGTAAGTTATACTGTATTATATACGCTAAACTATATTATATAAAACTGTAATTAAATTAAATGTAATTAATTAAACTGTATTATATACTGAACTATACTGTATTATATAAGCTATACTAAACTATACTAAATTATACAAGCTATCCTAAACTATACTAAACTATACAAGCTATCTTAAACTGTACTAAACTATATAAGCTATATTAAACTATATTATCAACCGATATCTCGTTGTCCGGCACTGTAAGGCTTAAATTGACAATCACCTTTCGCAAAGGAATCTTTATTTCATATATTTTTTTGAAGTTTTTCATTATAAAGAGGAGGCTTCAAATTTATCGTAGATTCAGACGTGAAAAATGTTCTTCGATATTTTTCCCCTCTATTTCAAAAAATGTCGTCGCTTTTCCATCCGCCACGTCGTGCAAAATCACCTCAGAATAAAACGAACGATGCACAGACTTCAAGCTTTAAAACGAGCCCAGATTTATCGTCGCACGATTTTGTTTTACGAGTTTAAATATTAACGCTGGCGTCGTTAGTCCGAATGTTATTATGTGCATTGCACATTCAGCTCGAAAATTAAACGAAACGACGAATTCTGACAACACGTTGAATTTGAGAACCGGTAAAAGTCGCCGAGAAATCCCTGGATATTTCCCAGCCAGCGTTTCGCTATTTATCGCCCGGGTTCACGAACGGAAACGTCAGTCCAAGTGGAACGTGGTAATCACGGTATTTGGACTTCTCGTGTAAATTCTGCGTCTCGAATCCTATTAACTAGTTCACGAAGCAGGACTAGTTACTCGGGAATTAAGTGATCCGCGGCAGACAGACGCGCATCGCCCACGGAATTTCCGTAACAGTGCGATTATACCCAGTTCCACGGCGTTCCTCACCGGTGAAACAGTCGAGCACATATTAATTCGCCAGCACACGCTGGGAACTTTGACTTCGGTGATGGCAATCAGGGACTGAGATTGGCAATGGAGTTTCGCCTCTCTCGGTTTTCGGTGCAACTCGAAATGATAACGTACTTCGAACTGCGAATCACGGCGGGGCATCGTCTCGCGATCAAGCCCCCTCTCGAATCAATGACGCGTCAAATGATTTCCTAACCTAAATTGAATACTCTGAATCCAATTGTTGCTCTTTTGAGAAGAAAGATTTCACCTTGTCAGTAAATTTTTGACTCATTTTTGCACGTAGAATAACCTTCCGTTAATTATTTGCTCCTCGAATCGATGACATGTGAAACGTCAAATAATTTCCTAACCTAAATTGGATATTCTGAATCCAATTGTTGCTCTTTTGAGAAGAAAGATTTCATCTTGTCAGTAAATTTTTGACTCATTTTTGCACGTAGAATAAACATTTGTTAATTATTTGCTCCTTGAATTGATGACATGTGAAACGTCAAATAATTTCCTAACCTAAATTGGATATTCTGGATCCAATTGTTGCTCTTTTGAGAAGAAAGATTTCACCTTGTCAGTAAATTTTTGACTCATTTTTGCACGTAGAATAATCTTCTGTTAATTATTTGCTCCTCGAATCGATGACATGTGAAACGTCAAATAATTTCCTAACCTAAATTGGATACTCTGGATTCAATTGTTGCTGGATCTTTTGAGAAGAAAGATTTCACCTTGTCAGTAAATTTTTGACTTATTTTTGCACGTAGAATAACTTTCTGTTAATTATTTGCTCCTCGAATCGATGACATGTGAAACGTCAAATAATTTCCTAACCTAAATTGGATATTCTGGATCCAATTGTTGCTCTTTTGAGAAGAAAGATTTCACCTTGTCAGTAAATTTTTGACTCATTTTTGCACGTAGAATAACTTTCTGTTAATTATTTTCTCCTCGAATCGATGACATGTGAAACGTCAAATAATTTCCTAACCTAAATTGGATATTCCGGATCCAACTGTTGCTCTTTTGAGAAGAAAGATTTCACCTTGTCAGTAAATTTTTGACTCATTTTTGCACGTAAAATAAATATTTGTCAATTATTTGCTCCTCGAATTGATGACATGCGAAACGTCAAATAATTTCCAAACCTAAATTGGATTCAATTGTTGCTGGATCTTTTGAGAACAAAAATTTCGCCTTGTCAGTAAATGTTTGGACGTAGAATAATCTCCTGTTAATTATTCTCGTCTGTTATACCTAAATTCAAGTATACTTGATAAGTTTTTGGATCCGATCTTCTCGAAAACGAGTAAGAAAAGGTCGTTCTCTGCATTTCTTTCTTTTCGAAAGAATCACGTCGTGTATGTTTTCGGATATTATTATCATACAGTGTCATTACTTTTTCAAATTTCAATTAAATCCCAATTACAGTTCAAGTATATCTATTTCATCATCGAACGCGTTTTTCACCTTCTCTCTTTCTGCAAAGCAATTGTACGTTTGCCTAGTTTATTACGAGCAATGAAAATTCGGGGGCTGTTTTTGCAAAATGCTGCAAGAACCTTCGACGTTCTTTATTGCAATCTGAGGGACAGTGTACAAGTGACGAGTGACATTAGAACGGAGAAAAAGAAAGTCATGCGCGATTGTCCCCAAGGGGGCGATCACTGCCAATTTGGAGCTCACCTCCTCCTCTTGGGTCTGGCGAGAAATTTTAGTCGCTTCGAGCACTTGGCCTTTAACGCCATCGGCGAAACGGTGAACGCGTCTTCTCGGAGGTCCGTTTCTATGCCTGCGGGCCTTTCGACTGGCTTCGCCAGGGTCACCGTCCTCGGAGAAGCTGCGAAATGAAAGACAGCGCATCCTATCACTCGGGCTGCACAAATGGCTTGTTGCAAAAGAATCAACACCTTTCACGTAGACCTGGGCGTTTTGAAAGATTTTCAAATGACATTGTTTTCAAATCACGTTGTTTTTAAAGTTACTTCAGAAACAATCTATTTACTAAATAACGAAATTATATTATAGTATATTAAGTACAGTATATAGTGTATAGTATAAAATAATAAATACTATATACTATAATAACATAGTGTAATATAGTATATTAAGTATATTATATTATACTATAATATAGTACAATATATTATATTATACCATAATATACTATAATATATATATTTACTTATATTTATATAATATACTATAATATATATATATTAGTATACTATATATTATATTATATTATAGTATACTAACTATAGTATATAGCATATAGTATAATACAATAAATACTATATACTATAGTAATATAGTATATTATTATTTATAGTATATTAAGTATATTATATTATACTATAATATAGTATATATTATATTATATTATAGTATATTAATTAGTATATAGCATATAGTATAATACAATAAATACTATATATTGTATTATACTATATTAATATACTATATTGTATTGTACTATATACTATAGTAATATAGTATATTGTTATTTATAGTATATTAAGTATATTATATTATACTATAGTATAGTATAACATATTATATTATATTATAGTATATTAATTATAGTATATAACATATAGTATAATACAATAAATACTATATACTATAGTAATATAGTATATTATATATACTATTATAATTATTATAAAATTATATACAGTATTATATTTTAATATAGTATATACAGTATATTAAGTATAGTATATTATACTATAGTATAGTATAATATATTATATTATACTATGCTATAGTATAATATATTATAGTACGTTGAGTATTTCATATTTATTTGCAATTAATTGCTTTATTTGTGAGATAAATTGTTTACTATTCGCCAAGAGATCTACAATATACAACGTCCGCGACTACGGAATTCACTCATTCACTTAGAATTTAGAGTTTAGAAACGATTTTCGACTTATTCTCTCCATATAGAATCGCAGCGACACCCTGTACAGGAGGGGGAAGTGCTCGCTCTTTATTCGAAAGCGGACGACCACCGCCGGCCAAGCATCGTTCGACCGTCTAATCGTGGGAAACATCGTTTTAATTACTACCGGCCGCGTTTCACGGTTCGCGAAGCCCCCGCTGTCTGCGGAACGAGAGAGGGGAGAGGATTAAACCGATCCTCCCCCGGGAGGATCCGCGAGAGCATCGTGCCCCCGAAATCCCACGGAAAGCTTTTCCTTCCCTCACCTTCGGCGTGAATTTCCCCTCGTGCCAACTTACTTAAGTAAACAGCCGAACGATTTCTTCGAAAATCGGCGGGGAATCCCTTGGCGACGTGTCCGTTGAGTGGCAAGTTCGTCGAGAAGGGAAAAATCGCTCGAAAGGAGGGGGGGGGGGGAGGAGTACTTACCTACGGCCCTCAGCGCCGCCGGTGAAACCGCGCCGAGGATCCGCGGCGGTGTAATCTCCGCCATCGTCTTCGAGTACGCGATCTTCTGTGTACGTTTGCTGATCTTGTATGTGAGTGCGGTTCTGGCGACTTTGAACGGGTCCCTGGCACGTGGCATCTCCCTCGTCACCGGCGTCGACAGTTCCTCGATCCTCCGCATGTTCACCGGCCGCCATCTCCTCTTTCTCTGCAATTCAAAAAAAAAAAAGAAAAAAAAATCCGATCGGATCGTGTATCGATAGAGATCGACCTTTTATCGTTTTGGCGTTGCCGCGTGTTTCTTCAAGTTTCAACGTTCGTCTCTTTTCGCGTGTCGAGGTAGAATCTGTCAATCGTCGAACGACGTTTGTATCCACGTGTAATACAAGCGTCTGATCGTACGTCGTTCTCGTTTCCGCACGGTTTAACATCGAGAACTTTGTCCTTTCTTCCCTTTGGCGGTTTCTTTTTATCCCCCCCCCCCCCCGACGTCTGCGTTGGGAAACGTCAAGCGTTTCTCAAAGGACTTATCGAAAAAATTAATTGTATCATTTGTTCCTTCGTCATTTCTTTTTTTATCGACACGATCCGTGCAGCTGAGGTTTCATTTGCATGGAATCTTTTGTTGTGAAGCGAAGAATTTTTTTTTTTCAAAAATTTGTTATATCATAGTGACGTGCAATGTGTTTACAATATTATGGAATAAAAATATAAAAAAAGATAAAAAAATTATCTTCGTCAAGTTCTCACAAATGTTAACACTAGAACTACCAACGATTAAAGCTGGTTAGAATTTAGAATCCATCGACGAAAGAAAAGAAAAATAGAAAAACTGTAATAAAATACAATAGAATACACGAGCTTTTATTTATGCATTTTCCTGAAAAATCATTTAAATCTCTAGGAAATATTTTAAATGCTCCAAAAATGCTTTACGTCTGTAATATAAACGTTAAAATGAAAAATAAACGTCACTTTTTGCCTCACATCGAGTATCATTTAATGTATCATCGTATGTCAAGGGGGTTTGAATCATAGTAAGCGGCTCTTACAGGGAATCTAGGCTTGGGCGGGACCTTGGGAGCGGCCAGTATCTCCAGCAACTCCACGTGTTGATCCCACTGTTCCGGCTTGATCGCCCGACGCAATTTCGCCATTATCTTTTGCCTGCGATCCGAGATATAATAAATCAATAAATTTGCAAAAGGCAAAACTCGAGAGAATGATGGGACACGGGTTGCCTTACTATCGTCACAGACGAGGTATGTGAAAGTTTTGTTACTGATAGACAGAGTAGTTTCGAATTAGAAAAATTTCGAATAACATTCGATTAATAAGCGTAATTTTTAACTTAACGAATCATAGAATTTATGTTATTTGTTACAACCAATGCACTGCATAGTTGTTAAAAATTTGACATGTGTATTTCAATGTGTAATATAACATGTAAATGAAGAAATGTAATAATTTTAATATTTCAATATTAATAATAATTTAAAATAGTTGAAAATTTAGTTAAAATTTAATATTAATGGTAAATCAAAATAGTTGAAAACTCGATAGTTAAAAATTATTTTCAAGAATATTTGATACAACGTAAATCATTTGTACGTAAAACCACGTATCAGCAATTTTAAAATTTTAATCTACACTATATTGAAAGAAGTTGTGATCCGTGAGCTGTTTCTGATATACAATAAAATAATTTCGGTTAGTTATTAATAAGCGTAATTTTTAACTTAACGAATCATAGAATTTATGTTATTTGTCACAACCAATGCACTGCATAGTTGTAACAAAATTGTTAAAAATTTGACATGTGTACTTCAATGTGCAATATAAGAAACATGTAAATGAAGAAATATAATAATTTTAATATTTCAATATTAATAATAATTTAAAATAGTTGAAAATTTAGTTAAAATTAAAATAGTTGAAAAATTCGATAGTTAAAAATTATTTTCAAGAATATTTGATACAACGTGAATCATTTGCACGTAAAACCACGTGTCAGCAATTCTAAAATTTTAATCTACTATATTGAAAAAAGTAGCGATCCATAAGCTGTTTCTGATATACAATAGAATCATTTCGGTTACTAGCTTCACATTTCACGTATTTGAAAGTTTGGCAACACTGCAATGGGTCCCAAAAAATCACGTAAATCGCTGGCGCATTCGCTAGTTCCCCAACTCGCCGTTATTTAACGTAGAGCGCGCTGTGAATGGCTGTTTGGCTATGTCGGTATTGCAGGTTTCACGAAAAGAATCCGCCAGATGCAACGTCTTTTCGCATACCTGTGCCTGTGGTGTCGTGTCGTGCGATTATTCCGCGTGTCGCGTGTCGAGTGGATAATTTTCGCTCGATATCGACAGAAGGGGTGGCGAACGCGAAAGAGCCAGGGTGCGAAGTGGCCGCGAGAGGAGAACGACGAGAGCCAGTACTTGCTCGGCGAAATTTTCGAGACACCCTCGGGCGCTATTAATAATTACGTCTAGGGTACTCGTGTCTGCTAACTGTTCATGAGTTGCGCGCCAAGTTTAATAGTAACGTTAGGTAACTCGGCGGGAGGGGGGAAGTCGAACATGGAAAGTGGAAAGCCAATATCTGCTTTCTCGTTAAACCTGGACCGTAGGTGCGAGGTGTCTGGGTCCAGGTCCACGAATAAAGGGGTAAGAGGAAAGACAAATTCTCGCGAACTTTCGCCACCAACTTTTTCTCTCCCGCTCGACGCAACCTTCAATTTGTCGCGCTAATCCGAAGAAGGGAAGAGAGTAGTCCGTGATCAAAGAGTCGACTCGAAAAGTCGATAATTCGCACGTTCGGACAGGCGAGAGACACGGAAACACGAGTACAAACGCACGGTTACATTCGGGCGTTGGAGAAAGAGAAACGTCTTTGCTCGGTATCCAAATCCGACTTCGCGAGACTCAGCCAGATCTCGAAGGGAGAAAATCCGATTACGTGTCCTTTCGCCGCTCGCTGACGCATTCTCTCTCCCGTGTGTCAGATCCGGCGAGATGATCGTTCTTTCGGTCGTCGCCGCATCGATCCGGAAGAAATTGCTTCGCGGCGAGCGGTTGTGCAGCTGCGTCCCCCTCGTGATTCAAAATATGTACATGCCCCCAACCTCGTGGAACGAGGTTGTGCGAATCGGTTAAACAACGAGCTGGAGTTGCCTTGTCGTTGCCTCGCGATTATGGCCGATTGAATCAATTTTGACGAGGCAAATACGTGGCACGTGACGTGTACGTGTGACGTGCAACGTGTCCTCACGCGTTGTGCAAATAAGATGTAAAGTGAAAAGATTTCTGTTATTTTTCTAGCTGTACAGTTTTGTTATCCTCTGAGTTTCGAAAGTTGACACTTTTTACGAATTGACAGTGAGTCGTCAATATGAGCAGATCGTATGGTACAAATATGTAACTATATATACGTATACGTATACGTATATAGTTTATATATAAGTATGCGTAAACGTACATAGTTTATATATAAGTATCCGTAAACGTACATAGTTTATATATAAGTATAGATATACGTACATAGTTTATATATAAGTATGCGTATACGTACATAGTTTATATATAAGTATGCGTATACGTACATAGTTTATATATAAATATACGTACATAGTTTATATATAAGTATACGTAAATGTACATAGTTTATATATAAATATACGTATTCGTATATAGTTTATATATAAGTATCCGTACATAGTTTATATATAAGTATACATAAACGTACATTTTATATATATAAGTATACATATACGTACATAGTTTATATATAAGTATACGTATACGTACATAGTTTATATATAAGTATACATAAACGTACATTTTATATATATATAAGTATACATATACGTACATAGTTTATATATAAGTATAGATATATACTTTACGACCTCAGCTACGTGTACAGGGCAGAAAGAAAAAGTTTGTTCGTGGCTATCATGGATGAATTTGGTGGAAAGAATCTGCCAGGAAATTGACCTTGACCTTGACCTTGAATTTCAAAGTCGAAAATATTCTTTTCTTGCATTGTATTCTACTCGATCACGAACGTAAAACTTTCTCAAGGAACTTAATAGTTTTCTTGAAAAAAATGGCAGAAAAGTTTCTTAATCGTTTAACACTGCGGACTAACAGCGACTTTATGGTTCTAGACGCGTGTATGTCTACATATTTATATTTTGAATAAACGTTAAGAGTTAGTTGATTATTTAGATAACTCACACTGGTGCTAAATCAAATGTTAGAGTGAAGCCTAATACGAAAATTAATACATAAAATAGACGTCGACACGTTCAGAACTATAAAGTCGCTGTTAGCACTCGTCCGCAGTGTTCAATGATTACATGTATCGTATGATTACATACATTTCCATTAAATCGAAGGTGTAGAATTCATCTATGATGAGCCAAGGACAAACTTTCCTTTTACATACAGTGCGTTTAATAAGAAAGTCGGCGCTGCTTCTCTGAAAAAAAGATTCTTTTTTTGCAAAGAATTTTGAACGTCACAAATATATATATATTTTTAGCAGCCAGAGTCGCGTTCTTCTCCTCTCTTCTCGTCTAATTGAAAATTTCAAAAATGTCTCGACTTTCTTCTTCGATCGCGCTCACACTTTCAAAACATAAGCAACAACTCTCGACCGAATGAACAAATATACACGACTCTCTTTTTCAATTACTCCGTGATACCTGTCACCTGTCAAACACACGCAAGTATTGCCAGATTCGATTAATATTGCCAGAGTTATGCTATCCCGGAGCCGTCTATCGAGAGAATAGACGAAAATTACTTTTCCCTCGTACTCAATAATCGAGCTGGCAATAGCATTTCGAGCGTGAGCAGAATTTTGTTCATTGAAAAAAAAAGAAGAATATCTTTTTTTATTCCGCTAGAGAAACGACGAGTAACTGCTTCTTATTAAAACACACTGTAGACGAACATAAACATTGCGTTCGGACACAAACTGTGTGCGGTCACACACTCACTTCTTCCTCATCTCTCGCTGTTGCCTGGCGTTGCAGAAGAATCGATATCTCCGATACCGTGAGTTCTGAACCTTCCAGAGTGTCTCGGCTATGTTGCCGCTGCTACTGGGGAAGATCCGCATGTTCGCCAACAGCAATCTGATCAGTGAGAGAGGGAGGGAGGAGAGGAACGAGAGCAATTCGTTAATTCTCTCTTCTGAAGAGCTTCTTACTGTCTACACGGGAAAGAAGCGATCTTGCTACCTCTTTGTAGGGAGCGCCAAGTCCTGGATGCGTTTCGTGGCTTTGGCCGCGAGCGTTTTCGGATGGATCCGCGCGTACGGTGCTGGTACTTCCCTACGGACAGACACACAGAGTTTGCAGCACGGTGTGCCGCTGGAGTTGCCACTCGCTTTGAAAGAGAAAACTCCGGTGCGAGCCGTATCGATCGGCGGTGCATATCGGCCGCGAACGCGTAATTACTCACGTTGGATCGTGTTTTTTGGTAACGTGTTTCGGTCGCGCCATCGCTTTGATTCTCTTCGAGGCGCGCCCCCTCAACGCTGACCGCCGAATGCCGTAAGGATCCGCCTGAAATTGATGAAAGAAGAGTTGGAGAAGCTGAGAATGTAGAGCAGTGTCTGTTGTAACTGTCCAACAGTTGTAGGGTGGTCACTGAAAGACTGAATGTTTTACAAACACACGTTTTTAATTATTTTTTATTTTATTTTATTTTATTTTATTTTACTTTACTTTATTTTATTTTATTTTATTTTATTTTACTTTATTTTATTTTATTTTATTTTATTTTATTTTATTATTTTATTATTTTATTTTATTTTATTTTATTTTAGTTTAGTTTATTATTTTTTTTCATTTTATTTTATTTTATTATTTTATTTTTTTCATTTTATTTTATTTTATTATTTTATTTTATTTTATTTTATTTTATTTTATTTTAGTTTAGTTTAGTGTAGTTTATTTTACTTTATTTTACTTTATTTTACTTTATTTTTTAAAATTTTATTTTATTTTATTTTACTTTACTTTATTTTATTTTATTTTATTTTATTTTATTTTAGTTTATTTTTTTATTTGGAAATATAATTGATGGATTTTTTTCAATATCATGTGTGAAAAACAACATCCCTCAAGTTATGACCTTTTCAAATCCTTTTTTCAATTTTTCAGTGGCCACCCTGTACAATTTCCAAAAGTCTGTAGCTGAGTATCGGTATTTGTAGGTATGTGAATACAAGAAATATTACATCTCACCTCTCATTACATGACACTTATGGTTATATTTGTCGTCGAAATTTTTGAAAAATCAAACATTACAAATGCGTATAGAAAAAAACATTTTTTTTTCTTTTTTTTAATAAAATGAACACTTTTTTTTTTAACAAAATGACTCACAGGTACACAAAATTTACATCAACACATGTTTTTACACATTCGTTTCACATAAAAATTTCTCTGGCATTTGCTAGCAATTTGAAATATCAAATATGTTAATAAACGAAGTAATAACAATTCAACAAGGTTAACAATAACACTGTGGCCAGGAGTGGCACCAATTTTGAAATGACGTACGACTACGTTGCATTCAGCCAAAGGAATTTGAAACAACGTACGTTTCCTGTCGCGAGAGGGTTAAAATGCGTGGTGCATTTCAATTGGTCGTCGAAAGAAAGAGTGGGGATGATACTACCGCGCGCGTAGGTAGCGTAGAGTGGGGGTAGTCCCAATTCTAAAAACTGGTGGGGATAAGCGCTGGTCAGTTACGTTGGGACTGCTGTATGTCGCTCGTTTTGTGCGTCGAGTGTTACGTTTCACGTGGCCGCGCGTAGAGTGGGGGGGGGGGGGTAGTCCCAACTTCAAGAATTGGTGGGGGATGAGCGCTGGTCAGTTACGAGGTCCAGAGTGTGGTCAGTTGTGTGGTCACTATATCTAGAGTGCAAAGTGCAAAAAAATCGACACTCACCAGAATATGCACGTTCCTCGTTTGAATTCGTCGCCAGTTAGGCTTCGCCAATAGAGAAACGTACTGTTTGTGGGACAAATGGCCCATGGCGTATTTGATCCTGTCTTTCAGCATGTTTGCGACCTAGTATCTTCGTTCTCTCAAACGAATCGATCTCTTTCCTGCGAACCTAAACCTTTGTTTATTTGACTATCAGCGACGTTACGTTGTAGGTTGTCTAATTTAATTTATCCAACGATCCGAGTAGGTTTAAAAAGTAGGGACGAGAGAGAGAAAGAGAGAGAGAGAGAGAGAGCGCTCGAGAAATTGAGCCACCGATGCAATTTATCAGCGCGAAACTTTTCCTTCCCTTAATTTGTCTAACCCTTAATTTCGACGCGACATGCTCGTCTGGGAATCGCGTTTCCGACGCGAGAAATGTCACGCAGCAAGGGACAAATGAAGAATGACGCGTAATTCAACGAGCGCTTCGACACTCTCGATTTTTTTCTCCTTTTCCTCGCGAATTTCTTCGAGTTTTTGCTTCATTTACCTCGTCGTTGCGCCACGTTTGGTAAAAGGAGGTAAAAATATAGCTGTTTCAAATTAATTAATCTCTCAATGATCTGCGGGAAAATTTTTTCTCCCCCTTGTCGAATTTTATTCAACGTAAGGGAAATTCCAACATTTTTGATCCCCAGCAGTTCAGAGTTTTCGAGACCAAAAAAAAAAAAAAAAGAAAGGTTGTACAGCGAGTTTCAAACAAAGAGGAAATTCCAACGAAACACAGCGACGGGAAAATTCTTTTTCAATGCTTTTGTTTACGCTCGCGTTTCGAACTTTTACAATTTCCGCGAGTACAGTCTTGCATCGATGCAAAATCATGTTCGACGAGATGAGCGAGCTCGCGTTTGTTAAAAAACGGAAGCTTTAAAAAACGACGACCAGACGTCAAGTTACATCAACTTGAATTATCGACCAGTTTTCATTGTCGTTAGTTATGCTCTACGCTCTGGTATTAACAAAGGTATCAAACAGATGCAGAGAATAAAACTGAGGATCGCGCCTTAACCCCTTGCACTCCAAACTGTTTTTCAATCATTTCTTCTTCTTCGTCTTCTTCCTCTTTTTCTGGCAATTTAAAAACATCGAGTGTGAAAGTTCGCCGCGATGAAAACACACTCGACAAAGGAGTGCAAAGGGGTTAATACGATATTGACATTAACCGAGACCCGAGCTCCTTTACGGGCATGTAGTTTGTGAATTTCGACGTGCACTCGGCAACGAGGGCGTTGTTTCGGTCGACGCGATGCGCTGGCAACAGTTGGCGAATAGTTCGGCTCGAGGAAGAAACAACAACAAAAAAAAAAAAAAAAAAAAAAAAAAAGAGAAAAACGCGGCCGCGATTCCCCCCGAATGAAAGGAAATACTGTTTCCACGGGAGAATTACCGGCGTGAGATTATTTCGAGCGATCCGCGAAAATGTGGAACACTGGCCGGGTCAGGAAGCATAGGGGATTTTCAATTAATAATACTGACACACGGAATAAATACGGTATTCCCACGACGCGATCCCCCTCCCCCCCCTCCCCTATTATTCAATGTGTAAAGCTGCAGCTTCGTTTGCTTGTTTGTATTTCGCGTCATCGATCGGATCGTTCCTGTAAAAAGAAGAAAAAAAGAAAGGTCGATGAAAATGTAGCAGAAATGCCGAGAATGTTCGACATAATTAATTGCCATTGGATCGAGAGGTCATGACTGCCCTCTCGTCCGCGAGAATGGCAAGGTCGAGAAAAAAGAAGGGCAGGAAACAGTACAACAGGAAGAAACAGAAAGACGATTACCGCAGGGAGGAGAGCTCCGAGCGAAGTGTAGCTTGATTTCGAAGCAGTCGCCAAATCAAATTCTTCGATCAGACTGATTACATCGGCTGGAGAATCGGCGAGATTTCGGGATATAAGAAAGAAACATGAAGGGGCAGGACAGCGGTGGAACTGTAATTTCGTGCTCGATTCGGACCCGCAGCATTAGGTACAGAAGCTCTCTCGATGAAGATCTCTTAAGGGACATCCGGTCGGTTTTATTCGTTCTCATCCGTCCACGAACGTGGGACCACTCGCTCTCTTCTTACCACTTTCCACCTCTTCCTCGCTCTTCTGCCGCCAAAGAGCGAGACGAAGAAATTTCCCTCTTACTCTTTCGCGTTTCACTCGCACTTTTTCTCTTTCTTCATCCGTTCACCGGCCACGTTCCCTTACTCTGTCAACCTCGCATGGGAAATCTCAAATACGAGTCTGTTTACCTGGCACTTGGAGTCCCGGTGGATATCGATGATAAGATTTTACTCCGACTTTACCCTTCCTCCGGGCCTTCATCAGCTCCGGCTTCTTCACCCCTCCGGGCCATCCCCCGACGAGCGGATAACTATCCTTGCGGGTTTAACCGGGGGACACGATACACGACGATATCGCAGAAATATGTGCATATATATCAGGGGTGCCCATAAGTGATGTTTTCTTCGAGTTTAATAAACGTTGCCATCTGGTGACAATAATTTAACTTATCGTAACATTTGTTGTTCAATTACACTGTATTAATTCTTCAATAAAATAAAATTTCGTATAGTGTCAAAAAACATCACTTTTGGGTATCTATAAGTAATGTCGTTTCCTTAAAATTTAGTAAACGATGCAATCTAGTAACTTATCGTAACATAACCTATATTAGTTAAGTATATGGACACTTAGTGTGTTTGTTGTTAAATTACACTGTATTAACTCTTCAATAAAATAAAATTTCGTATAGTGTCAAAAAACATCACTTTTGGGTATCTATAAGTAATGTTGTTTCCTTAAAATTAAACGTTGCAATCTAGTAACTTAAATTATACTGTATTAAATCTAGTAACTTTAAATTATACTGTATTAACTCTTAAATGAAATAAAATTTCGTACAGTACCCATAGGTAATGTCGTTTTCTTTGAATTTAATAAACGTCGTCATCTAGTAACTTATCGTAACATAACTTATATCAGTTAAATATATTGACAATCAGTGTGTTTGTCGTTAAATTACACTGTATTAACTCTTAAATAAAATAAAATTTCGTACAGTATCAAAAAACATCACTCATGAGTACCTATAGGTAATGTCGTTTTCTTCGAATTTAATAAACGTTGTCATCTAGTAACTTATCGTAACATAACCTATATTAGTTATGTATATTGACACTTAGTGTGTTTGTTGTTAAATTACACTGTATTAATTCTTAAATAAAATGAAATTTCTTATAGTGTCAAAAAATATCACTTTTGGGTATCCATGAGTAATGTCGTTTCCTTAAAATTTAATAAACGTTGCCATCTAGTAACAATAATTTAACTTATCGTAACATATATTCCTATATTCGTAACATAACCTATATTCTAAGTTATTCTAGTTAAATGTATCGACATTTCGTGTGTTTATTGTTAAATTATACTGTATTAACTCTTAAATGAAATAAAATTTCGTACAGTACCCATAGGTAATGTCGTTTTCGAATTTAATAAACGTCGTCATCTAGTAACTTATCGTAACATAACTTATATCAGTTAAGTATATTGACACTCAGTGTGTTTGTCGTTATATTACACTGTATGAACTCTTAAATAAAATAAAATTTCGTACAGTATCAAAAAACATCACTCATGAGTACCTATAGGTAATGTCGTTTTCTTCGAATTTAATAGACGTTGCCATCTAGTAACTTATCGCAATACAACCTATATTAGTTAAGTACATTAACACTTAGTGTGTTTGTTGTTAAATTATACTGTATGAACTCTTAAATAAAATGAAATTTCGTACAGTCAAAAAACATCACTCATGAGCATCCATAAGTGATGTTGTTTTCTTCGAATTTAATAAACGTTGCCATCTAGTAACTTATCGTAACATAACTTATATCAGTTAAATATATTGACAATCAGTGTGTTTGTCGTTAAATTACACTGTATTAACTCTTAAATAAAATAAAATTTCGTACAGTATCAAAAAACATCACTCATGAGTACCTATAGGTAATGTCGTTTTCTTCGAATTTAATA